AAATCAATACCAAAAAAGTGACAACTTAACATCAGTTTTCTTTAAGTTGGATGGATGAAGGAGTGATTATTTTAAAGAAAATGTCTTAGAAAATGCTGGTAATTTTATCATAATAATATGATAGTGAGATTTGATGGCTAGTCTATTGGAGATATATCCTATGGCCTGCAATTAATATTAAAAGAAATGGCAAAAACTGAAATTACTTTTGCACCAAGCTATTATGGAAAGCCATAGCTGCAATTAAATAATTTTATAAAAAGGGTATACACCACTGAATTCCTTCAATACTGAGTACTGTGGGAAATGAGTATATTTATTGGCCTATGATGCTATTAGATCCTGTTGCTCATTGGCCTGTGAACCTGTCCTCTTATAGCCAAGAAGGCCCTGGGACATGCCTATTCCAGTGAGAGCTCTCTTTAGGCAGGGTTCCTGGGATGAAGACCAGTGATCCCAAGGACAGTGGGAATAGTTGCCCAGCAGACCACTGAACCAATTTGGTTTTCATTTTGGGGTTTAGTGAGGGAGACAGGCCTGCATTGCTCCTATAAAATGTACACTGGGTAGCCTTTAGAGTCACAAGGTGACAGACCTTCAGAAAAGACCCTAGACCAGCAGTCCCCAACCTTTTTGGCAACAGGGACCACTTTTGTGAAAGACAGTTCTTCCGCAAACATGGTGAGTAATGGTTTCAGGATGAAAGTGTTCCACCTCAGATAACCAGGAATTAGATTCACATAAGGAGCACACAACCTCAATTGCTCACGTCCACAGTTTACAGTAGGATTTGCACCCCTATGAGAATCTAATGCCTCCGCTGATCTGACAGGAGGCAGAGCTCAGGCCATAATGTGCGCTTGCCCATGGCTCACCTCCTGCTGTGTGGCCCGGGTTCCTAACGGGCCACAGACCAGTACCAGTCCACAGCCTGGGGGGTTAGGGACCCATGCACTAGACAACATCCAGTTCAGCCTTCTCATTGTCCAGAGGAACGGGAAGCCAAGTGAAGAGTAGTGGAATGACTTTCATATACCTTGTGGAGTTAGAGGCAAAGCCAGGATGACAAGATAAATTGCTAAGTTTAAATTCAGGTTTTTTCCTTTTCAACTGGCTACTCCATTTTGTTTGCAGCCAAGAGTCCAAACTGATGATAAGAAAGCTTTTTAATGAAAGAAAATTCAGGAAAAATATACAGAAAATTTAGGAAAGATAAAAACACAAACTGCATTCTTAGTAAAGAGTATAGTCAGTTTCTCTCCTAACTGTAATTCTTTTTTTCCCTCCAAAATTAGAGAGGGTAGTATCTGCATCTCTGTTTCAGCATTCTCATATTTTTTTTCCTGTCATGAAATCTTTGGTCTCTTTTGTTATAATAGCAGTTATTGCAAAACTGACTCACTTTGCCAAACCTAATCTAGTTTGGGAAATATGAATTCTCTGAATTGAAGATCACAAAGTTCTCAATTTTATTGCAACTATATTAACTGCAAAAGATGACTTATCTCGTTAGTCCTCATAGTAATGTAACTTAAGTCTAAAGGAACTTTTTCATTGTAAATAAGGTAAACAGCATTGTTATTAACAAAAAGAGAAATTCCTAAGTCCAGTTATTGAGACACAATTCATGAGACACTGTTCTCTTTTGGCATTAATGGTCATGAAGAAGTGGAGCGTAGCTAAGGTTTATTTTGGAAATGATGTTTCTCATCCCCTCACTCCTGGGTCTGAGTGCCTTATCACCCTTTCACAGAGGTCTGTGCTTGGGAACCTACAGGCCTGTGCACCCCATGGAAAGTTCTAGTCGTTTCTGTAGCCCCACTTCCTGACAGAGCCAATTCCAATCCCACGACCCCCTGTAAATCAGAGTCAGTCTGCTGCTCCTGCTGCATCTGTCAGAACAGCCAGTAACCTGCTGACACCTCACGCTGAACATTGCAGGGCTGAGCTGGCACCAGCTTTTTGATGCCTCCTGAGGGGATTCAGGAAGTGAGATGGAGGCTGTCAGCCCTGAGTTGCTCGTCATCCCTGCAGGAACTTCGTTAAGCTTTCTGTTCCATTTAATGTTCTGTGGCTGTCATTAACATTGTGGTTTTGGTACCTTGATAAATCTCTAAATTAATTTGAAAATGGATGTGTGGAATTGAAGAAAGTTCAGCTTCTTAAATAATAACTTGACATGTGTGTCTGATAGCCTAAGTGTAAGAAACTGGATCTGTTACCTATTTCTGCTTAACAGGTCTCTCCAAAACTTAGTAGCTTGAAGTTGAAGCCATTTTATTTGCTGATGAGTTTGAGGGTGAGCAATTTGGGCTTCAGCCACATTGGATTGGATTCTTAAGCTCCCTTAGCCTGGAATCACTCTTGTGGCTTCCATCATATGGAAGATTAACTGGGGGCTCAAGGATCTGAGGTGGCTTCACTCACATGTGTAACAGTTGGCTAGGCCCTGTTATCTGCAGCAGAACAAAGCAAGCCACATGTCCCAGAGTCAATGAGGGAGGTGACCACTCCAGGGCATGGCATTGGAAGGCTTTATTCATTGGGGCCACTACTATAAATTACCACAGAAACAAAATAGAAAACTCCAACTATATTTTAACGGTGTTCTTTTAAGTTCTGCATGATGGTGTTGCTGTGTTTCAGACCTCTTTATTGTGCAAAGCTGCCATCCATGCAGGAATAATTGCTGACGAACTGGGTGGCCAGATCAGTGTGCTTCAGCACAAAGGGATCAGTCGATATGAAGGAATCCTGGCCAATGGTGTGCTGTCAAGGGAGTAAGTACTTTTTTCAGTACCATTTGTTCTGAGTAGAAGGTAACCCTGAAGAATAATTTAACCAGCTCACAACTTTGAAAAGACGGCAGGGATGTGATAGCAAGGGTTTGTCAACTGGAAAAATATGCATGAGTGCTTAGAGCAGCATTTCTCGTCTCTGGGTGGATGACAAATGTAGCAATCAGAAAGCTCACTGGTTATGCTGACATGTAAATTAAAATGGCTCACTCTGAAGCCCTGGGGCAGAGGAGTGTTTTCACTCTCGGGTGCTTTTGTGGGAGAAAATAAAGGCTGAATCCTTTTTAGGTTTTTACAACTTGAGTAAATTACTGGTTACCTCCAATATTATCATCAGCTGAAACCCTTAAAGAACCACTCAGCTCCCTAGAAGATTCCTAGAGACAGTCATTTACTGATGAGTTTGGGAAGTGAAAATAGATGGCTTTTGTTAACATTGTTTGAAAAAAGATTGCTTTTGTTAATATTACATTCTTCATTTGTTTTTATCCTGTGCTGTTTTAGCTTCATGAGAAAAAATATGTGTTAATTGCTTTAAACATTTCCACCTAAGCTTTTCATATTTTCAGATTTCCTCAGTCTCTAGAAGGTAGAAAAGTAGAGCTATGTAGAACTCAGTGTCAACCTGCCCTGTGGTCCAGACATCCACACACAGGATACAGACAGCTTAGAATGGCCAAGAGGGAGACACTCCTGGAGTGGAAACCTAGTGAGGGAAAGGTGCTCCTTGAGCCACTGTATTTCTCTCTTTCACTCTCTCCTTCTCTCTGTGTCCCTGGATATGTCTTCTGCCTTCTGTGACTCTGTTTTTTGCGCAGGTTTTCACATGGCCTGGGTTCCAAGAATAAGGCACAAGACAGAGGTTTTAGGCGTTTTGGGATCCAGAAGTGGGGGAAAAAATGCCAGGACCTATGTATTCAATCACTCGTTAATCTGTATGACGATCTCCCCCTGCCCCTGCTATTTTGTCCTAGCATGCAGAAAGAACATGGTTATGTTTTACTGTTCCATTTTTATAATGAATGGTGAGCCATCTTATCTTGGATAGGTTCTCAGGTTAGTCAGCATAGATACGGTGAGATGTTATTTTGATAATTGCAGTGTTTTCCTTCACCTTCCTACTTTTTATTTAAATGTATTAGCAATGTCATAGGTCAAATAGGTATCCTGACTACAAGTTATGACATTGCTTTTATTGGAAAATGTGTCTTAAGTTCTGAAGAACCAGCTTACGAACTCACATATAAACTTTGGGACTAACACCCAATTTATGATTGGGGGTGTTGACCCATACTCATAGGCAGTGCTATTTGAAAGCAGTAACTGAAGTTAGGGGAGAGGTAGTTAGGTCATCTTCACGAAGGAGATGAGTCTTGTGTTTGATGGAAGGCAGGAACAGTGCTAAGAGGGATTACGGGGGTAGAGTCAAGACTGGGGAGCAATGTTGGGGTAGGGTGGTGACCGTCGGCACACCATGCTCACAGTCAGGAGGGTGTCTATGGAGAAAAGGCAGAGTCTCTCACTGGCAATTCTGAATTCAGGAGTTCAGGCCTCAGGGTGCAGGTAACTAGAGAAGATGTTCCAATATAACTCTTTTACTCAAGCAATGCAGGTAGTACTGTGTGTAATCCACAAAAGACTTCCACCCACCAAGGACAGCGGTGCATGCTGTGCACTTGGACATGTGGGCTTACCTCATGGTATTTGTGTTCTCTGCCTACCATGACCCTCCCATTTATTTGCTTTCCCCTTCTAGATAGATTTTCAGCTGTAAGAGGACACAAAGTGTCCTTTTCATATTACCTGAACATTCAAAGACAAATTAGTCTCTAAATTTGTGCCAAGGTTTAAGATCCAAAAGTTCCGTAACAGTATGCTGTTAGAAACTAAAATCTCTATTCAGATGAATAAAATTATACATATATACACATACACATATATACATACATTTTTCACATAAATATTTGTCACATACTTTTCAGAACATTAAATTTTATTTTAAAATTTACATTCTGATTTATAGTAAAAGTGATCACTTATGCACAGTAAGCCTTTAAATGCCAACTTGACCTTGACTTTTAAGAATGTATTTTTTTTTAGGTTTTTTGATGGTTTCTTCTGTTGATAGTAGGGTGCTACTTTAGGAAAATAACAGGCTCTAGCCTGAATTCGTTAGGTGCTACCACTTCCAAACAGGAATGAAGAGCTACCCTTTGGCTTTCAGTCTGTTTTTGGAATCATTTGTCTGTGTTTGTCTACATTTGAATGCTCCTTTTATTGGAAAACAGGATAACAAAAAGTTTGACTAGGATTTTATTTTACTTTTGAACAACAATTATTAAAACTGTTGAATAAAGTTAGACCTTGTATTCTCAGTTACTTCTGCTATGTCAACTGGACATAATAAATACAAATATTTTATACCATTTGAAAATTATATATTACATATATAATTTTACATATATATTTTATATAATTTTATATATTTCATATAATTTTAAGTTACACTTCCATGCAAAAAGTAGAGTACACAAATCTAAACCATTAATGAATTATAAAAGGTTTTGTTTCATATTCCATATAATTATTTGTACTAATTGTCTGATTTTTGTGTTGGGAGGAGTGGATGGAAAGTGCAGAATTATATCAAGATCTTTCTTCTAGATCTGTGATTTTTGCACTGACTTTTTGCACTGAGCAAATAGTTTACTGTGTGTTCACACAGTCTCTTCCACTTATTTAGATTTGAAATCTTCAGGGAACAGTTGTTTTTATCTGTGTTGTTTTGCTCTTGGGGAAACACTGTACATGCGGTCATTGAACTTACATTCCCACACACGATTGTTTGGCATTCAGGAAAAACCAGAGAAGGAAGTATTGCAGCTGAGGAAGAAGGGGTCCCTAAAGTAAATATCTAGGGTTCTTCTGGGATTCATCCCCGGTCAGATCACTTCCTTAATTTGAAGAGACCAGAATGGAATCAGGAAGAGGGACTGACTGCATACCAAGGATAATGGTGCTAACCATCAGAAGCGAAAACCTTCTTTCTGTTTCCATCAGATCTTCTTGATTGCTTCTGTAGCCCTCTGGGGAGGCCTTTTATTCCTGTAATCTGATTGAATTGATTCACTCTAATGTGTGAATGCTTCAGAACCCTAACCTCCCTATGGGGGTTTTTATTTTTAAAGAGTAGGCTTATTAACCTATAGAATTATTTAAGTGGTCTGTATTTAATTAGTTTAATGGAATGAAATGGAAAAACATTTTCCAGTTGATAATGGAGGAAAGCCAGGCAGAGAACTGTTAGAAGCAGAGCTTTTCCTGGTTTCTTCTCAGGATTAACTCCAAAGTTATCCTTCCCATACTTTTTGGTTAACAACAACAAAACTAATATTTCATGGCAGGAGGAGTGAGCTTAGTTTCTTAGGGTTGCCACAGCATTATTTGGGCTTATTTGAGCCACATTTCAAATTTAACAGTGTAGAAACATTAGAGAAAATGGAAAAGGAGACAAAAGAGAGGCTCTACATAAATCTTAATACAATTTTAATATGATTAGCACCTACATTTAAGTGTCAGGAGAGTTGAGTTCTCACCTAAGCTTTTTTGCTAACTATGAACTCAGGCAAGTCCCAGGACCTGTGTGGATCTGAGTTTTTTCAGGCAAGTAATGATTGGTGCCTGTATTATATTCAGTGCAGAGATTATAGAAGAGCCTGTATGTGGAATATTAGGGTTTATGGAGCCTGCAAAGCATAGACAATGTGAAAGAGAAAGTCTATTCTGGAGAGTTTTACTACCGATTGTTTCTAAAAAGAGCTTTTGATGGGAAGGTACTTATACTCTTGGCCAGAGTACTTTTGCGTTATTTGCGGATTTCATGTTTTAGTACTCTGTTTGTCCATTATTCCCATTTATAATTCAGAGTTAAACATTTAAAATAATAAGCAGCACTCTGAGGTTGTAAAATAGTTGTAAAAAGTTGGGCACAACAGGGACATCTACCTTTTGGTGTTTACCTCTAGTATCTAATACTGCGCACATGAAGCTAATGTTGAGACCTCCACATTTTCCATTCATTCTATGTATTTTTCATACCACTGACTTTGTGAGGAATTATTTTAAAGGTTGATCTGTTCTTCCAAGGTAGATAAGGACATTTCTGTGGCCTTAGGAATCTCTTCTGCAGTGAAAGAGACAACTGCAGAATGAGGCTGATTCGATCATTTCTCCTGTGATAGTGATAGAAGCTGTAGAACTGTAAGGATTAGGAGTCCACAGGACAAATGCCAGATGAGTGGTGGTACTGTCTTGCAGCAGTGAGGCCAGCTCACTGACATGCTATGTGTTTTCTCCAGCTGTACCTTGTCATCCAGAAGCAGGAGTTGGTTCAAGGTTTGGTGCCGGTTGCTACAGTAGGTAGGAATGTGACTGTGGAGAGAGACGGGACAGAGACTGTCCCCAGAGCAACACTGCTGAAGCAAGATCCTCAGTGAAAGGAGAGAGATGTGTGGGGAAGACAGATGGAAATGAGTGGAACACTTTAAGGTGACTGCTCAGACAAAGAGAGATTTCAGGGCCGTAATCCTTTATGTCTTCATCATCTTGCATTAATTAATTGAGATGTAAGGTTAGTCCTGAGAGTGTATATCTACACATTCCTTTCCAATAAATTCAGCATGGTGAAAATAGCTCAGAATTCTGATTCAAAAGTAGCATCTCAGAGTCCTAGCCTCTTGTCACCTATATGAAGTTAGGAAAGTTGCTTACCTTCCATGGGCCTAAGCTTCCTGTTCTATAAAGTACTGATGATGAAGATAATAGCAGTAGGTTTGCAAGGGTGTTGTGAGGATCATGTGGGGAAGCGCAGGCGCGAAGGCTGTGTGAGCCCTGTGATGTAGCGCTGTATTAGTCACTAAGATCTAGGTAACCAACTCACCTTCTCATGTTTGTCTTTGTTGTTTCAGTGGTTCCCTGTCAGACAGGCGATTTCTGTTTACCTCCAATGGTAAGGATCATGCTTTCCTTACAAATTTGATATTTGAAAATTCTTCAGTAGTAGTTTATTCCTCCATACCCTTCAGATTATATCATTTAAAAGGTTTTTTTCTTCTTTTTATTTTTTCTTAGGTCACATAGCACATTAAAAAAAAAAAAAAAAAAAAGGAAGACAGGGTCTCACTATGTTGCTCAAGCTGGTCTCAAATTCCTGGACTTAAGTGATCCTCCTGCCTCAGCCACCCACACCAAATCTTCTTGACTTAACCATACACAGGATAATAAGCCTAATTAACATTAAGCAGAAAATATGTTTCTTTATAATCTAAACTCTCTCAAACTTTTGCCTAAAAGAATAAAAAGTGAAACATTTAAGATAAATTCCTTAATCTTAGATTTTAAGAGAAAAGGCTTTCAAATATTGCAATTTGATTTATTATTTTGAATAAAGTTACTGAAAGTGAGTATATAAAAGCTGTTTAGCTTCACCATTATGGAATGTGTTCTAAATAAATACCCTCCCTTTGCATAAATGATTTCAAGGAAAACACTGAATATTTCTTCTTTGCCCAGGAAGAGCAGGCCTTTATTTGCTGCCTTCACATTGCTATATTGGACATGGTATAGTTAAGGTCCTTTGGATGAATATTGGTACAGCCTACTGATCTTCAGAGGACTTAGACACATCTGCTTTTCAAGTATGTGGAAAGAATGGAGTTCCCTTCTGATTCTAAATCCTTTAAAATGAGAAGGAACACAGCATTTTAAACCTTTTAACACAGATTGCACTTTGTTGAAATCAGGGTGAATTCAGAAGGTTAGAAAAGAAAATCTACAGTGGGGACAAAGAGATGTCACTTATAGAGGATGTGACTTTGAGGTCTATTAAGAAAAGCAGTAACAGTTTCAAGGCACAGTAGTACAAATGAGTGAAAGTCTGGACCATTTAAAAACTGGTAATTAAACACTTCATTCTATATTAGAATAAAAGTCAATCAGTTGAATATTCTAGGTGAGATGGGGTCCTTGTTTTTGCTGTCATTTTATGTCTATCTCTGAAATGTCTTACTGTACTCTTTCTTCTAGGTTGCAGCAGATCCTTGAGTTTGGAACCTGATGGGCAAATCAGAGCTTCTTCCTCATGGCAGTCGGTCAATGAGAGTGGAGACCAAGTTCACTGGTCTCCTGGCCAAGCCCGACTTCAGGACCAAGGCCCATCATGGGCTTCGGGTGACAGTAGCAACAACCACAAACCACGAGAGTGGCTGGAGATAGATTTGGGAGAGAAAAAGAAAATAACAGGTGCAAAAATAACACAAGCACAGGAGTAGTTTTGTGGTTGTGAATGACTTGCTGTTGAAAATATGTTTACCATTTACATAGGTGCCTCTCTTCCTACCTCCAAGTACTTGAAATCTTTTAAAATGTAACAAATCAGCTTCTCGGCCTTTTGGCTAAGATCAAGTGTTAAAATGTAACAAATCTTTACAGTATTTCTGTGAAAAGAACTGGTCTGCAAGTTGTAAATATGGATATATGGATTATATACGGATTAGAGAGGTAATTCTTCATTGTGAAACCTTTATGTGGTGTGTTGTCAGAGTGAAAACATTAATCTGTGAACAGATTTTTAAGTGCAGCTAATATAAGTTGGCCTGTAAGATGATTTGAGGTTTCAAATGAGGGAGAAAAAAATGAAACTTGAAATTATAATACGTGTTATATTTAACAAACTTTAAAAAGTAGCCTGTAATTGTTATTTTCTTACAAGGAATTAGGACTACAGGATCTACACAGTCGAATTTCAACTTTTATGTTAAGAGTTTTGTGATGAACTTCAAAAACAACAATTCTAAGTGGAAGACCTATAAAGGAATTGTGAATAATGAAGAAAAGGTAAGAGTTAGCCCTGGAGGCAAGATAACTGAGTAGGAGAACAGGCCTCTATATATTTTCATTTGTGTGTTTACATTAAATATTTCATTAATAAAAGACAGTGAGGCCAGGCATGGTGGCTCATTCCTGTCATCCTCAGGCTTTGAGAGGCCAAGACAGGAGGATCATTTGAGACCATGCTGGGCAGCATAGCAGGATCCCACCACTACAAAAAAAATTTTTCTTTTTTAGTTAGCCAAATGTGGCAGTGCATGCTTGTAGTGCTAGATACTTGGGAGGCTGCCACAGGAGGATCACTTGAGCCCAGGAGTTCAAGGTTACAGTGATTATGATTGTGCTATTGTACTACAGTCTGGGCAACAGAGTAAGATGCTGTTTCTAAAATCAAATAAAGTTTTTAAAAAGGTGATGATGGGCTAGGCGCAATGACTCACACCTGTAATCTCAGCACTTTGGGAGGCCAAAGCAGGTGGATTACCTAAGGTCAGGAGTTTGAGACCAGCCTGGCCAACATGGTGAAACCCCATCTCTACTAAAAATACAAAAATTAGCCAGGAGTGGTGGCTGGTGCCTGTAATCCCAGCTACTTGGGAGGCTAAGGCAGGAGAATAGCTTGAACCCAGGAGGCAGAGGTTGCAGTGAGCCGAGATTGTGTCATTGCATTCTAGCCTCTGTAACAGAGTAAGACTCCGTCCCAAGAATAAAACATCTCCAAACCACCCCCCCCCACACACACACACACAACCTTGAGAGATCTTTGTGATTTAATTCTTTTCTACTTCAGGAATGAAATACTTGTGATTTTGTTGGGAAGTGAAAATTGGCCATTTGAAATGATTCCTTCAGTATAAGCATAGTGGATGTTTGAGTTGGAAGGCAGTGGCAAAAGTGAGAGCTGAAGCCTTGTACTCTTGAGGTTGCTTGTCTGCAGCACCAGTTGAATGTAGAAATATTAAGATCAAGTAATACAGCAAGGCAATTTTAGCTTGTTTATCCAAAATGAAATTTAAACCAGTAAACAGATGAACAGCACCACCTTAGTTAGATAACTTGGCCCTTGTTTGCAAAGCCTCATATCTTCAATATCAAGAGTGTCTAGAAAAATGCAACGGACATAGAATCCTTTTCTTGATTTCATATAACCAGATATAAGTGGGATGATAAACACCTAAAAACTAACCAATAGAATCTTAAGGTAAAAATAATTTCCTTCTATAGGTGTTTCAGGGCAACTCTAACTTTCGGGACCCAGTGCAGAACAATTTCATCCCTCCCATCGTGGCCAGATATGTACGGGTTGTCCCCCAGACATGGCACCAGAGGATAGCCTTGAAGGTGGAGCTCATTGGTTGCCAGATTACACAAGGTAGGGCTCAGGGCAAGACAGTGAGTTATTCAAGTTTAGTCATTTTTTTTTTTTTTTTTGCCTATCAATGTTACTAATGTGGTTTTCCCAACATCCCTCCTTTCTCAGGTAATGATTCATTGGTGTGGCGCAAGACAACTCAAAGCACCAGTGTTTCAACTGAGAAAGAAGATGAGACAATCACAAGGCCCATCCCCTCAGAAGAAATGCCCACAGGTAGAGCAGTCATTGTTTTGTGGTTTCATAAGGAGCATAGCTGGTACCCCACCCAATATCAGTAACTTCAACAAAATTTCTTTTTCTCTGTCATATAAATGCTGGAGGTAGATGATCCAGAGGTATTGGCACATATGTAGAATTATGTATGTTTACAGCTTTTCATTGAGTATTAGAAAGATTAGGAATGAACTTATGTGCCCTTCAAACACTAGGTACATATTTTGTGGAAAAATAAAATATTAGCATATTCATGCAATGGAACACTCTGCAGCCACAAAAAAGAATGTATTGGCAATATAGAAAGCTCTCTAAGATACAGTGGCAACTTAAAAAAAATAAGTAAAGTATAGAACTATCTAGCACACCACCCTTTCTGCCAACAGGAGAAATAAAGAATAAATATTCATTCCAGTATCTCTAGAAACATTTCAGGAAACATAATGTGGCTTTCTGTGGAGGAGGAACAGAGGTAGGAGGCACATATTCCATTCCATACTTTTGTATGCTTTTTGCATTTTGAACATCTAAGTGTCTAATATATTCAAATAATGAACATTAAAAGTAAATTTTTTCAGAATATAAAATAATTTACATATCAATTTTGTAAGAATTTGGAAAGATGAGAAAAACACAAGAAAACAAAAATTAGTCATAAATCAGCATCCATTGATAATCACCAAATCTCACTGCTTCTAGTAAACTATATTTCTAACTTTAAGACAAAAATGGTAGCATATCATATGATTCTGTTCTGTAGCATATATTTTTCATTTAACATTGTATTATGAGCATTTTCCAATGTTACTAGAATGTTGAAAACCCCAATTATTAATGTCTTTATACTATATTTTCACATGGATAAACCATTATTTACTTGACCATTCCCCTGATGTTGGGTGTTTTAAGTTGTTTGATTTTCCCCAAATTTTTACTCTTAAAAATCACACCACTGCTGGGCCTGGTAGCTTGCTCCTATAGTCCTAGCACTTTGGTAGGCTGAGGCAGGCAGATTACCTGAGCTCAGGAGTTCAAGACCGGCCTGGGCAACAGGGTGAAACCCCATCTCTACTAAAATACAAAAATTAGCCAGGCATGGTGGCATGGGCCTGTAGTCCGAGCTACTCAGGAGGCTGAGGCAGGAGAATCGCTTGAACCTAGGAGGCAGAGGTTGCTGCAAGCTGAGATCACACCACTGCACTCCAGCCTGGGCAACAGAGCGAGGCTCCATCTCTGAAATAAATAAATAAAATAATAAAACAACACCACTGTTACTTACAAATAAATTTTGTTTTTATCTAAGCTCCTTTTCCCCTTCTTCATGAATTGCATTTTCCCACTTGTAAGCATCCCTTTATTTTCTTCCCAGGGATCACAGAAGAAAAAGATGAAGATCAAATATATTTTCTTTATTTTGTGTAATTTCCACAAACTTGGGGCCTGCCTTAGAGGCTGTCAAACTGTCCTTTTTTTAGAACAGAAAGAATTTTAGGAAAACATGATGTAGTGTTTCATGCAACACAGTGGAAATGCTGTTTGAGGTCATCAGGCTGCCTTTCCTCTCAGTCTGCAGCCCCAGAGTTCTGTAACAAGGATCCCAGTTTTCCAGGCCACTGTTATGGTACAGGTCCAAACCCGCCTGGCATCCAGGGAAACAGGTTGCTTGAGCCAAAGTAGGAGCTCCACACTGTGCTTAAATCATGTACATGTCTAAATAGTTCCCACCTGAGAGGTGGGGGAGGTGTTCAACTTCCCCCTCATTTCAGATTTTTGGAGTTTAGTATGGGCCAAGCAACAAGCCCAGTGTACCTGTTAGTCCCTGAGAAACTTTGGAAACTGCCTTTGGGGGCCAGGGAGAGAAGCTTTATTTTCCCAAGCTTTAGCCAGGATTATGAATCCTTTGTTTTTTCTTTCCATTATCAGTAAATTCCTAGCATGTATTCATTTTCTCCCTATGTAAACTGCTTAAAGACTTTTCAATTCCGTGTTCAGTTTTAGATCATGAAATGTGTTGTCAGTCATTTATGTTGTAATGTAATGGCTTTCCCTCTTCTTTAGGAATGAACATTACAACCGTGGCTATTCCACTGGTGCTTCTTGTTGCCCTGCTGCTTGCTGGAATGGGGATCTTTGCAGCCTTTAGAAAGTATGGTGACTTTATGTTTTAAATTTCTCTAATTATGCAAACAATAATAAAAACACAAAGTTTATTCTTCAGAAATGCATATGTAGAAAATCAGCATGACTTCTTTCAAAATAAAATATTAACTTATATTTTAAAAACAAGTTAGATAAAAATAGAAATGATCAAGTATTACTTTATTAATTTTTTTTTTTTTTTTTTTTTTT